TCGAGTCCGACGAGGTGTCACGATTTCTCAGCGGCGTTGGAAGTGGAACGTTCAGGAGAGCGTCACCGATGCTGTGCCTCAGCAGATTATGCTGTAGAATGTGGTGATTTACGCGATCAAATGCCGATCGATAAATCCAGGTAGTCTCTGTCATTATTTTCCCCAGCATCGGCATATTTCGTTCTGCGGACGCGGGCTAGCAGACGGTTCGTGGTCCATCAGCGGTTTCAGCGGAAGTCGCTCTGCTTCAGCATATTCCTATTATCTAATGTGTGTTACTACAATGGCAAATTCCATGGTAGAGGCACTGGAATAAAAGTTATGCACGGTAGTTTGCGCGTTCAGCACCATTTCTTCTTTGTGAATTGGGGTGATTATTCCAAGTTTCGACATAGTAGGAACCTGCACCTCATTGACAGCACTGGAAAAACCGAGACAACGGTTCATGCAAGGCCCTGGTATTAGAGAATGACGCACCCTAACTTTTAATGCACGCATTCGAGTTAAATGGAGGCAAGAATTACTCCGTATATCCCTGGGGCTTCGGGCAATGGAGAATAATGTACACTCACTATCATGGAGGGGTGGCTTCTCCCAAGGAAACCAATAATTGCAGAGAAAGTGATTTGTCTACACAATGTTCCGCAGCAGCTTCAACTGGTGAGAAGAACAGAAGCCAAGGCGTACGAAAATTAGTTTTCTATAATCTATGTGTATACTTATAGAGCTACACGCAAAACAAAGTATCTAGACAGACATCATAAAGTCGTTACTCCTTTAGTGAGTTAGTTGGACACTGACAGTAGATTTTAGCTAGGTTACAACTACTGACTGACCATGGCGTCGCGGGTCAGAGGTCAATAGCCGGTAGGGCCAAAGTAGTTCCAACACCCTAGATCAATTTTTCTAAACATAATGCTCCGGTTCATAAAGCCGGATCGCTATTGCCTCAACAACTTACAGCATTCGCTTATGGATATTGTTCGATCCGCCTGTCATGGCCTGATAAATAATTTTTTGTGTGACAGCTGATTTGGTGCTATATTTATCCAGTTCGCAGGATTTTCTCTAGTGTGCCAACGGGCAGATGAGTGTTACTTCTATTGCTGTTGTTTCTTCCTCTTCCTCTCACCTCTGATTTTCTCCGATTGAATGGTACCTCCGAAATATGGGAATGTCACGGCTGAATGTTGTGTCACCAGTACATCTAAAGTACGCAGATTGCAGTGAAAGAACACAGACGTTGTCAGAGGTACAACGACACATGTAGCCACGACCGAATAGGCGTTTACAGTCCACTTTGCCAGAGATACAAGGTTCCTGCAGGAGTCCAACTGTGTAAACGAACGCACAACAGACAACACTTGAAAACATTAGTACTATCGTGGCTTGCAACAGATATCGTTCATGAAACCGAGCTTCATCTTCGCAACCAGCCGAGCACACGGCAGTCATTAATAACATGCACACTCTTCGTTTCATGACATCACTGAACCAGACTTCATCTTAGTAACAGGAACATGATTTACGAACGACACTACACAACCTTGTTTCCATATTGCTCGATTGAACAGTTTTCTTGCCTGTCGAAGCTCAGTACCTTACGGTGGTTGCATTATACATGATATATTATATGAATCCGACAAATGTCAAGCATCACTGCTAAGCACTCCCTCTAAAGATAGCAACCTTAACTCCATAGTAATAAGTGCTTGCATCACAAAGTATTTGGATAATTTTGGGTTGCATTTACTTCCTTCCGAATCCCAGTGTGGATGACTTAAAACACCTGGAGCACTTGTTTTTTCTACTGAGTAGAATTATTTGCAGACATAATGTCCAAAACTGTTGCTTTTTGATGACGCGAAATCTTAGCAATACCTCGCAACACGACTTACTATGCTCACGGTCTTGCACAACCTGCCAAATCGAGTTTCTCAATCTTCGTATTAGTTCGCTTGACTGCGGTTCCTCAGCTATATTCGTCTACCCTGACATACAGAAGGCGTTTGATCGTGTTTCGCATGCTTCTCTCTTGTCCAGATTAACTACATCCGACATCGGCAACCCACTGCCGTCGTGGTTCAACTCATACCTCCCGAACAGAACCTAGATTGATCGGGTTCAAAATGTAACCCGCCCGCATAAGCCAGTCACTAGTGGCGTGATTCAAGGCAGTGTCCTGGGCGCTTTATTATTCCTACTATATTGCTGTGACGTGTTTGAAGTCTTTATCTTTGGCAAACCTTTTCTAATTTTCGCTGATATAAAGATTATTTACTTGTTTAATCCCGCTGACCTCAGTAAGCTTTTAAGCGCACTCCAACCTGAGTCACACATGTTTGATTCATTCTCCGTTGACAAATGCCACGTGGTAACCTGCAGACGTGAAATCTCACCGGGTTCTCTTACACTTGACAGCAAACCTCTGTCGCAATGCCAAAACATCCGCGACCTAGAGATACCATACTCGAAGACCCTAAACTTCGCCAAACATGGTGGGTGCATTGCAACTCATGCTCGTCGGAGCATCGGGCTTCTGTTCAATACATTTACTCTAAAGGAATCAACTAACGGCGTGTACAAAATACGGACGCGGCGGTTAGTAGATTCTGGCTCCCCAATCTGCTGCAGTTCGAGAATGAATGATCGTACAGCATTAGAGCGAGTGCAACGACCAGTTACCAAGCGTCTCATGGGTTACTCCTCTACATACTCATATACAGGTCGATGTATTAGCTTACAGCTTGATCCAGATGAAACTTATCCTTCCCGTCCTTTTTATATCCTAACCAAAATAATATGCTCATCACATCCGGTGCTGCAACCAGATGCACCGTTAATATATCGCACTAGGAACAATAACAACAAAATATTACTGAAATTATCAAGAACTAGACAGTCGGGCAACTTTTTCCTTAACCGATACTCCATATTATGGAACAGGGATCCTAGTGAGGTACATGAGGTCCAGTCATGGATGAAATTTCGAAAGGCATTACATTCAATTCTCAGCGTTGAAACAGCTTTCTATATGTTGAGACCAAAGATGACAATTGAATGTCATGATGAAACTGGAGTAAGATGGATATGTTTTAATTGCCCTGTTTTGTCTTTTCAACTGACTCCATGAATTCAACTACGGGTAACAGAGGCACTAAGATACTTTTTAAGTAACGCGAATTTTCCGCCAAATGGTACATCTGAGCGCACCAAGGCGGAAAGTTATCGCAGCCTCTTTTCTATTTTCTTTCCTTGTACCGCTAATACACTGCTAATTATCTTCTATTCATTCCTGATATGTTACCGATTTCCCTTATTCTGCAGACTTCACTTCGATCACAATTTATGCTTTTTGTTTGATCTTACCCGATGAAACCACCAGAAAATACTTTAGGAGCTGCAAGAATTATAAATACTTCTAACGCATTGCCGAAAACAATCATTACTCTATTTCCTTATTTATTCTCTTGAATGTATGAACCGTCACGAACAACTGCCAGATGACATCACATTCTAGAGAAACGTAGGGCATCTGTTCCTGACTAGCAGAACAAACTCCACGAGGTGCTAGCTTAGTGGTTCTGGTTAATCGCGTTCCAGCGAATAGTCCGGCGGCAGTGTTCCAGGACGTAGTGGGTTTTCACCTGACAAGAGTTCTCCTTATAAAAAGCCACAAAGATCCGTTTAGCAACACTGCAACGTGGCAGACGTGACTCGCCACTACATACAGTCATTGGCTCTGCCCCTTCCTGAGGATCCCCACTTCAGGAACGTCATTCATTTTGAAGAGTGCCTTCGATGCCTTCATATGATGGCGAACACAGCAAACAAACTCACGAATTCAGTCACACTAGAAAAGTTCAGTCACCATGCCCACTGATACTACACTGTACTATATACAGACACACAAATCCAGTATGTTACTGCTTAACTTGCTAGATTGTTTTACAAACACCCAACATGCTTGTTTGTGTTGTCATGATCATGTCTCCGCAGGCATGCATCTCACTGCTGGGAACAAAGCGTTTATTTCTTTATTTATTATTTTCTTTCCATGGTTGGTCACGACTGGGCCGATCTGCTGAGGTGACAGATTGAAGCTTCCAAGATAACTAATTATACCCATGCAAGACGAATTGTCACAAACCCACTAGCGAGAAAAAAATTGCTGGGTTCAAAAAAACTAGTCTACAACTTGACGGCATATTACCTATCACGGGCCATAAATGGGAATCATCCTGATGATTGCCCATTGCTTATAAGCATGGCCAAAAATCATGGGCAACATAATAATATCCTACTTGACTTAATTTCACATCACCGAATGACCAGATGAGGCGTGGAAGTGCGGAAGAAACCTACCGAGGGACTACTCTCCATGGAAGCGGCTCCGAGTAGACGGTTCCACAGATGGTCTTATTATTTCACTTGATTTGCTGGTTGCGCCTACAATTACTCTTATGCACTCCTTCCCACAATACCATGCCTTTTAAACATTCGCGCAACGCAATGCTTCTCTTGGAAGAATATTGGAAATGCAAAAATTTTCTCTGCCATCTGAGTATACTGTAAATAATGATCGGACAAACATTTGGTCTGCGTCTCACACCATTGAGAAATATACAATGCATTTATTTGTTTAGCGGATTCACATGAAAATCAGTGGTCATAGCTTCCCAAACTGATCAATGTCCTCATTAGAGCGTAGGTGACAAACTATGTTTATCCCTGCGGTCACCCTGCTGGTGTTGGTAGGATTATAGATATGTGCATTTAAACGCGTGTGACATGGACCACCAAGTGTATAGATAGACATACTCAGCTTCGTCATTGCTGTGTTCAACATCCACTTTATCGCTTCTTGTCAAAATAAACACTGAGATGGGAGCATGTAATTTCAGTGTATTTAATTCGCTAACAATACATACTAAGATCAGAAAGTTGGATTAAGTTTTTGAAAGCGGGAAAACGGAGTGCGCGGAAGTGATGTGAGGTCATTACAGGAGAGGATATTCGTCAAGATTTGTGTGTTGCCACGAATGAACTGGAGGCCAATATCCATTGTATCTGCAAGAATCTCCATTTAACTCGGCCACGAATGGAAGTGAATAATCCGAAGGATTGAAGAACAATGAATACGGGTTCACAATCAATTTGTAACGTGCCAACCGGGTGTTAGATGACGTGTGAGCAACGCTTACTTCAATTTGGGTGCAGTTTTCGACCATAAAGTGCCCACTAGCGTATTCCCTCTTGCTAGTGACCTGCGACGAAATAAGGAACAATGTTAATGGTCAAATTCCGAAAGCGAACGAAATGTGCATTGACGGGCAAACAAGGACGAAGTTGTAACTTGGATGGGCACCTACCTAACGCATATTACTTCAAACACTGTCTGCTTAGCTCATGCAGTTCAATGTTTGCAAATGCAGACTAACGTGATCAGGACCAGACGTACCTCACTGCAAGTGTCGCGATCCGCCGGTCCAATCAGTATGAAAGCTGCAACGAATGGACAAAATGGTGTCAGCGCTGGCAGATGGGATTCAACAGATGGAGATGTTATTGTATCCATGTGTCAAAAGTAATCCGGAGGTAAAGAGACTTAAATACTTGTGACAACGTGTGGGCAGCACACCTACTGTCCTTGGGAGCAGATCCACTAAGAACCCCACACTCTAACTCCAATATCCCTGACAGATATCATCCTGCAATGGCAAATGATGTACGCGTACACCCGAATGTTCCGCTTGCCTACGCGACTAGTGGCTCTATCTTGACTTCTTTCGAGATGTCCATCTTCAGTAGTCCAATTGTTCACTACAGACACATTCAACGCGAAGTGAAGAGAGCGGAACTTGATGGTGAATTGCGTCCACTGCAAATTGAAGTCGAACGTCCAACATCGATTCTTTGAATCTCATGATAATGCCTGTGAAGTGTGGAGTCTTGTTTGCTTCATACTGCATCGGCAGAGCAAACAGCAAAGCTAATTGTCGTATTTGTGCCGGTGTACAAGTAAATGGCGCTAAACCAGTCTCTATGTGTAGCTAAAGTTTCGGGGGTTGGTGGTCTGTGTGCTCGTTGAGCTCGGCAGTTTGATAACAAACGTTTCCATTAGTAACTTGAAAAGCACAATTAGAAAACGAGGTTCGGCAGATGCATGCATTTCGTATCGTCTTATCAGTGCCGATGACGATAACCGGTGATGTTATATGACAGTTGATGGTAGAGACATACATACAAACAAAGGCGCGAAAAGGGGTGTCTTTCTTCTACAACCAGGGGCAGCCTGAGGCTGACCGATAATTGTCTTTGAACACAAAGCATTGGCTTAATCCGATTAATGTCAATAGCCTCGGCGAACCGGAGGAGCCGAGGAGCTACCGTTGCCTCCACTAAAGGAAACTCAGCCTGTTGGCACCAACTCCCACTGCGTATATCAATTCCTATGTAACTGCGAGGATAGTTACATAGGCAGAACCAATAGAACACTGAGTTCCCTAATAAAGAGCGTGTACCAAAATGTGTTCAGTGTGGACCTATTCAGCAAACAAGCCCAAATCAGACTACAAGTGTACGCAGGCTGCCAGCATCCTCGATCGGCAGGCACTCATTGACTTCGTGTCACCGAATTGAGGACAACAAGGTGTTTAGAATCCTGCTTCGCCATACTAATTCCCGGCTCCTCCGGTTTTCTGAGGTTATTGACATTAATCGGATTAAGCCAATGCTTTGTGTTCAAAAACGATTATCGGTCAGCCTCAGGCTGCTCCTGGTTGTAGAAGAAAGACACCCATTTTCTCGCCTTTGTTTGTATGTATGTCGGTACCATCAACTGTTATATCACACTACCGAGTATCCTCATCGGCACTGATGAGACGATATGAAATGCATGCATCTACCGAACTTTGTCTTCTAATTATGCTTTTCAACAAACGTTTCGTCACGAACAGAAGGGACATCGTCATTGAGCGTTTATGGAACATAGCGGCGCGGTACGAAGCGTCAATGAGTGTTGCTAGTAGGGGCACGATAAATGGATAAGTCACCAAGTAGCATTCTACCATCAAACTGATAACTGACTTCATGCGAAATTGAACACGGTTATTCCCTTAATCCTCCTGATTTCCAGTGGAGTGGAATACGTCTCAGAAGTACCATATCGCGGTACAACACATGAACCATGCGAGTCCATCTTGCATCGAGTGCCAATGTGGTCACAACCCATGCCAAATAACCGATAAAATTGACGAGATTAAAACCCTGTAGTTTGATGCGTTTAGATTGGCGGGTTTGCACTCAAATTTGTGCAGCTATTTCAGATATTTCTACCCGCCATAAGGATTCTCAACGAACTTACATACATTTACGGCGGAATCCATGACTGGCGCAGATCCTGCAACGGTGGAAGTAAGAGTAGTATGTCAGCATCTCTTCATGGTGACAAAATCGTCAAAGTAAGTGAAATGCTCGGCGTATCTAAGTGAACTAAATGTATTAAATAAGTGAAATATCACAAGCGCTCATGCAAATGGCTGGCTAGCCGAACAACCTCCTCGTGTTGCCAGCTGGGTGGTTCGGGTTTAACCCGTTCCAGCAAATAGTTCGGCGGCAGTGTTCCAGGACGTGGTGGGTTTTCGCTTGGCAAGCGTTCTCCCTATAAAAAGCCACAAATGTCTGTTTAACAACACTGCGACGTGGCGGATGTGACTCGCCACAAACTAAAGTCACTGGCCCGTGGATATCCGGAAAGTGTTATCCAACCCACAGAAATCAATGGTTTATGCTCACATTCCTGAGGATAACAAACAGTCAAAAATGCTGCGGCACATTCAAAGACACACGCTACATTCATACACAATTACATAGGTATATAAACCCATGCACGCTGGATATCAGGAAAGTGCTATCCAACCCACAGACGTCAATTGCTTATGCTCACATTCCTGAGGATAACAAACAGTCAAAAATGCTGCGGCATATTCAAAGACACAAGCTACATTCGTACACAATTACATACATATATACACCCATACACTCACATACACTGTTATGCCAAACATGTACTTTTGTACCTTTTTGATCACACTATGTTAGCTAAACATGATCATGCCTGTAAAGGTGTGCCTCGTCTCGTCGAGAATAAAAGTTTATTTATTTATTTATTTATTTATGAAGATTACCCGGAACGTCAGGTTTCACTTCAAGGTGTCACTGTGCTGATTTCAAACTAAATATTCATTTTGGCAATATATTTTTCCACTCTGCATGTGCTTCCAGATTCATTGCAATATCGAGAGAGGAGAAGGCATATGCTTGAAACCTGGACTCGGATGGAAGGTGATAATTCTAAATTAGATGAAGAAAAGGATCATTATAGCATCCCTAACACATCCTTCTCTATCCACGTAACAGAACAGGCATATTCATAACCAAACAAAACACCGAACTCACCGTAGACATCTTGTACCTCCCCGGTTGTGACGATGGTCGAACAACCACTGGCATTCATGTTGAGCAGCCGATTTACTTCCCACGCTCGTTCATACACCGTAAGACTGTTGTAATCCCACGGGAATTTCGTCTCATTCATGGTAATTTGCATTTCGTAAGCTGGCGTCGTACGTTCCAGCATGAGTCCATACGTGATGCATCCAGTGAACAATCCGGAATCCCATTGTGTCCTGCCGCGTGATTTCAGCTATAGAAGTCGAAACAGAAATGACTCATGTACTAGAGAATCGAGATGAGAAACGATGTGCTAAACACAGTCCACAGTGTCATTGCGTTCTTCGTTAAACTTGCCGACTTTGAGGATTTTGCCAGTGCAGTGTGTTTGGTGCTGGCGTCTCAGTATAAGCCGCTTAAGTCACAGTAGCCTGTTTATGCGCTGCATCAGCGACCGGCTATTTAAGAATCTACAGCTCATTCATGTGGCTAGAAGTCAGCGGGCAGAATTTCCATCTGATTTCTGAATGGTCCAGCGTTCGAAGCCTGCTATCTTTAATCGAAGAGACCTAACCAGATTGAGACGCGTAATGGAGTGTAGTATTTTCCACTGGAAAGCCCCCAGTATTTATCAGTTTCATCAGTTACGGTGTCAGTGATCGCACCGATCAAGGTTCACTTCAATGTGAATCGCCTGTGGTTGCGCGTCGCAGTCCACTTAAACGAAGGGTGCTAGGATATGATCCTTCAACCTACCGTAATCTTGCAATGTTATGCCGTCAACGAAAATAAACAGGCCACAATCGTTCAGGTGCCTGGTAGTTGAGCGTTAGCAAGGAGATACAGTTAAACGTGTGGGGAGGAAAAATGTGATGTAGAAACCACTGGTCGAACCGAACAACTCGAAGTAAAGTATGTACACGCCAAACGTGGGATATTATTAACAAAGTCACCGGGACCACTCATTGACCGTCCAATCCCAGAGTGGAAAGGTATGCGGATGGGACACACATGCACACGACAAGCAATAGTCACATGGATGACTTCATGGGCAATCCTCAGAGAGTGAGGGGACAACGTATCGATGATGTCAGCACACCAAGTGCCTGAAGATTTGTTCACAGCCGTAGGTGAGGAGTGCTAAACAGTAAGGGACCAATGGCGATAATCGCGAGGTCAGTTTAACGTGTAACTGTGCAAGTATACAGTGGGGGCGAAAGGTGGCCAAATTGTCCATCGGTAACTGATGGCATGTGTGGGTGGCTAGCTTAGGTGGACAACTGAGATCCGATGAGGCGATTCGGAGAAATTTTCCGTTACAATGTGCTTCAATAGGGCTTTCTTCTCTCACCTCGTTCCTCTTTCAACCACAGCATCTTGCTTTACGCTGGATCCCGCATTGCCTTCTCACTTCTTTGAACTATATTTCGTAGTTCGGACAGTCGAGCAGATGGAAATTTGTATAGAAAACACGAATGTTTACAGAATGTCTAAGTTGCGGATCGCCTCCTACTCACCAGCTCGCATGCATTAGTTGAATCCGGAGCATCGTGCAGGGAATTGCTTTCATCCAGTAAGGGAACCGACAACACGACGGTAAATTCCACTGCAAATGAGGATGAGGGTTGAATCACCAGGTGCTCATGTAAATGGGCAACCATTGGTATGAATGTGACTACGAGCAACTCAAAGAACAAACTATGTGACGAGACTGAGAAGTTCGCTCTCAGTACAAATATATTCACACGTATTGAACTTACCCACGGAGAATGCGGAGCGTAGAATGGCCAGCGTGCACAGAAAGGCTATGGATAGATGCTGCATTTCAGTAAGCAAAGATTCTTTGCACTCTCAGACTTATACGGACGTCTGGGTTAAATACTTCTCGTCCTTTGATTGAAGCGGACGTGTCACTATTCGGTTAGACGGCCTATCGCAGACTTCATACGCTTACAGTAATGACCTCATCCCTCGTAAACAAGTGACAATTGCACCATGTGGGCCATCAATAACACACAATCGCACCAGTTTCGCATTTGTCTTACACGTTGTGGCCCCATGATGCGTGATGTGACCTTGTTGTAACATCAAAATAGGCGAAAGTACGGGTGCGCGTGAGAAGTTTGCACTTTGCACTGCGCAGACGTTGTGCAACCTAGCACTCGCTGAATCTGCTGCGCACAGAATGTATCCTTGGTCCACTCGGCACAATTAACGAGTACTATAGTGGCGATCACCTGGGCGTTGCTCAGTTGGGTTGGTCAGTTGGCCCGGTCCAGGATTGGGTTTGCGAGTGAAGTAGTCCGACGAGAGAATTTTTGTAATGTGCGGTGACCCGGTTACCCGAGGACAGACCTGACTGATATCTTAATGCATAGTGTTTTTGACGTTCCTTCTTGAAGGAACGTTATGGGGAATTTGATTCACTCCCGCGTGTGTCAACCTGTCGGCAATGATGAGTCACGGGTGCGAAGTAACCACGTACCAATTCCCTTGGGGTGTTGGGTGTGAGAATTGTAAGATCAACAGATGTGTGTGTCACCTGCCTAAGTGTCTATCGATGAAGCATCAAACGATGGCATTCTATATCTTCAGAGTGGGTAATTTGTAACGTTCTGATGATCGCATGGTTGAATTCTGAAAACCCTAATTGTGCGAAATTTGCGGGTTCGCAAGCCACATTTCCTGAGCTGAGATAGATGGTAGTAATGAAATTAAAATGTCAATTGCCTGCAGCTGTTGTTATGTCAGTTCGTTAAACAACGTAGAAACATTTCCACGCCAACTACCTCCGCATTTGTTTACGCACGCTATTGGGTTAAACAAGGGATCGTCCGAACAAGCAAGACTGTATCCAAGTCGTACTGGACAGCTATTCGCGCCTTTCTGGCACACAAATTGAACTGGGCTTACTGTAGGAATGGTTGCTTTTAAATCTAAAGTACAGCTTCCGAACCGGCTGATGTGGGTTCCGAACTTGACGGACAAACTTCCAATCGGGTAACGAATTAACGCGCCAGTGCACTCAAATACAGCGGGCAAACATCGCACAGAGACGGTTTCTATTAAACACGCGATTCATTCGTTCAGATTATATGAAAACATCTTGACTGGCAATGGACGTGTTTGCGAAATCGCACCTATCAGTTCCGCTAACTCTTGGAAAAGCCTGACATGACGTGCGCAGTAATTTCGTATTCACTACTATTCAACTATCCACGCTGACATCCCATACTGTGGTACACTTGACGGTTGCTTCACCCGGCAAGCTCACTTGGTCCTACAAAGCGCTTTCCAAACATACTAGTTTTCCGAACAAAGAAACTGTATCTACCTTATCTCAGGCTGATCATTAAAGAGTACGGCGCGGCGAATACTAACATGAAAAGGACCAAAAGTTGAACATATCACTCGGGCATGGCTCACTGGAAGTCGATCCCGTATCACTCCATTGCGCTAGACATTAGATATCGCTTCAACCCCCGTACGAACACACAAACTTACGTACGTGCAAACATATTTTGAAAACACTGGGAATACTCACACGTCCCTACGCGCTGCCAGTAACGTGCTATACAAACAGATACGTAAAAAATAGGCCAGCAAAGTGATCAAAATATGTTATTTTTTTCTAGACAATTAGTACAATGTACACGCATATGTCGAATGGCATTACGACATCCCACAACGCTGATATCCTTGGTGGCTGCTTCGGCAATGCGTTCAAGGAACTGCAGCCTCCATTCCATCTGCGTCATGAGTTTCTGGGGATCCCCGGCCAGAAGTTCCTCGTAGTGCACTCTCATCTCATTCTTCACTCTGGCCCTCACCACCTGCCAAACATTCTCGATCGGATTGAGGAACGGAGAGTATGGGCTCAATCTCAGTATGGTTACTCCATCGGATCCATCTACCGACGACAGTTCTTCCAGTCGTGGGTGACACGGTGCATTATCACATACCACGACAACCTGCTGGAGCTCCATCTCCCGTTTCAGATTGTCTAAATAGCTTCGCAGCCATTCGAGAGATAGGGAACCTGTGAATGAGCCTCTCCGGGTTGTCATCGACACTTTCCCTTTCATCTTGAGTGCTGAGTGATGTACATGGATGCTGGCTTTCGGTTAGTCTCCGGTATGTGAGAGTAAGATCTCCGCGAAGCCGTCGGTATTCTAATGAGAACACACCGAGTACACGAAGACGCATTTCGTAACTTATATGGGATAGTCCACGCGTTGCCTTTCTGGCTCTTCTTTGGGGGTATTCCAAGAGGCGCATGTCTCGTTTTAACCATGGACACCAGGCCTGAATTGCATATTCAACATGAGGACGAATGTAGGAGTTCATCAACGATGGTACTAGTTGTCGCTCAAAAGTGCCGAGAGCTCGCCTCAAAAGTCTCAAGTTCAAGTTGGCCACACTTGCTGCTTTCGAACATTGGAGAGAATTTCCAAGACTCTCTTGCACGATTATACCTAGGTCGCGTTCACTAGTCACGTGTTGCATGACGTGTTGCCCGAAAAGGTATGTGTTGACGAAACTGTTGTGCACCGTCAGCAGGTGGCACTTTGCAGGGCTCAGTGGGAGCTGGTTCTTTTCTGCCCATTCGTTAATCCTGGCCAGATCTTCTTGGAGGTAGACACGGTCTGCAGCTGAGCGAATTGCTCTCCATATTTTAGCATCGTCTGCAAATATTTGCATTGGAGATAGAATGTCTGTTGGAAGGTCATTAATGTAGACTAAATATAGTAGCGGTCCGATGACGGATCTTTGTGTTACACCACTGGAGACGTAAAGGCTTTCAGAATAGGTGTCAGCTACTCTTACCTTGATTGCTCTGTCGTGATACTCTGTCGAACGTGAGGAGGCATGCCGACGACGTTAGAATCGTAGACATGGTTTCGGGGGTGCGCTTATGTTCCAGCTGTTGATTACTCTCAGACCAATTGTGATCCATCGTTTCGGACGTGAGGGGGGCGCATACAAGCTCGTTGCACCGTCGAAGTGCATTCCTCCAAGGTTCATTCACAAGTCTCACCCAGTCAACGAGCAGCGCGCTCACCTCCCCAGACTAACGCACCGAACCTTGGCATCCGGCCAATGAGAACACACTTAAGGTCAAAGGATTGGCTCTGAGCGGCTGGCGAATCGCGCAGGGTTTTTCAACATTACGGAATTTCTTTGCAAAATTTTGGACTTTTTTGCAAAATTTTTGACCTTTCATGCAACTTTGCGGGAAATGCTATAGTGGTGAAGAAGCAAGTGCCCTGAAAGTGTCGCTCTATAATGATGGCGTGAGCCTGGGTATTGGATATTATGTACAGAACGATAGCAGGGTTCAGCTACAGTCAAACAATTTTGTGAGAAAATTAACATCCTTATGTGTTACATCCGAAGTACACTGCTTTCTATGAGTATAGCAAGAACAACTCATAAGAACAACGGTCTAATACAGTCGAAAAGGCCAAGGTTTGACATGTCCCGTGGGGTGGTTTATGTGAATTACGCAAGTTACAAAAAGTCTGATACTTTTAAAGGCAGTTTGTTGCAGTCCCCTCCATTCTGGGTCTCGTCAGTTTTGCGCCTTCCCCGAACTCCTACTTGATTCCGACCCTCTGCACAGTTCGTAACTCGCATGGAATTGAAGGATGAGCCGGGCTATATCGCTGATCCTGGACGATGGTTCAATAGCACACGACATCACCTGCATATGCGACGCCGAGAACTCTAGATTTGCACCCAGCTTCTTCCCTAGCACAGCTTTTTCACCCTCCACTTCCAAAAAGAACGCAAGAGTTACTCGGTACTATTCCTGTAACTTTGAGAGGGGTGCAAAGTGCCATCGCATCCATAAAACCATCTACTCGTCTAGGACAAATGACATCTCTCCAACTGTTATGGAACTCGGAGGAACTACGATTTCACTAATGTTATTAAACATCTTCACACTTTCTCTCACTACCGGCTGCTTCCCATCTTAATGGAAGCAATCCATCATAATGCCCATGCACAAGGGTGGCAGGCAAGAGGAAATGTCGATATGCCAACCAATAAATTCACATCAGCAGTTTCCAAAACCCTATAGACAACAACAACATCGTGCAATTTGTTACAAGACGGGATCTGATCAACCCGTCACAACATGGCATTCTCTCAAAATGCTCCTGCGTTATCTATCAGCTACAATTTCTTGATCATGTCATGACTGTGAGTGACAGATGAATTGCAAAAAGTATACTTCTGGTAGACATGCAAAAGGCGTTCGACCACGTGCTGCACAAGCCACTGCTCTCCGTTCTACGGTCATATGGCATTGGAAATCCTCTGGGAAACTGTTCGACTCATACATATACGGTTCAACCAAGGTAAATGGAATCCGTCAGCAATACTCCACACCGAAACAAATAACCAGCAGCGTCTTCCAGCGAAGTGCATTCTGACCACTAGTATTTCTAATATATGTAAATAACAAATGCGACCCGATCAAACATGGACACTCATACCTGTTTTTAAATGGCTTCAAACTGGTCTACTCATTTCATCCAGAGCAAATACAAATGTGCCTGGGAAACATCTGTGAAGACCTATCCGCATTAAATATAGTTAGTGAACACCTGCTAGTGAAGTTCTCCTCAGTAAAATCCCAAGTACATGGGTACAGACTCCGCATTGCGGAAGGCCATCACACTTGCCGGAAACGTGATCCCAAAGCCTGATTCAATCTGGGACTTAGGAATTAGGTACTCTAACTCTTTCAATTGGGTAATTATATACAAAACGATGGGGAGGTGGAAGCTATCTTCAAGCAATCTTGTGAGAAAAATAAAACCTTGATTTACTAGTTAATTCATATGTAC